ACATCATGTATATGATTAACATATTATTAAGTAGGTAAGTATATTAGGAGACTGACTCATATTACCTTCCCACTCATTCGTTTGACAGAATTCAATCTACCTGTTTAGCTATGAGAATTGGCTGGCATAAGATAACATATTTTGTAACCACTTATGAAAAAAGTAAATATACATTTTAATAATTTAACATAATAACAGTTTGAAATTATTAATGTTTAATATTTGAAATAATACTAACTGAGGTTTTTTTTTCGGACTACTCTAATGCTGTTGGCCGCCGCTGGCCTTTACAGCTTCACCCGACGTTAGGGGGCGAGTGCAGATGGCACTCCAAACCTGCGGAAGGACTGATATGACGGGGGATCGATCGGAGGGGGGACTAACTGAGGTAAAAACCATTACTATATGTTTTTGTGGAGAGATGCAATTTAACATATGATGTGAATGTTACGCATGCCTAAGTCATTATTATAATAGAATAGAATGGAATATTATTCATACATCAATCATAGTTATTACATTATTTCATTTTCAGTTTATTATTGATTCCTAAAACTGTACCCAATTGAGAGTTCTATTATCACAATGGAAGCCAACTCTTTTGAAGTGCGTACTACACTACTCCTTCGTATCTCATAATGTAGAAAACTAGAGACACCAAGAAAACTATGCATTATAAAACATATGACCATATTGGTATATATGAAATGTCATACCACCACGCCTAACTATCCCAAAGGAGGATATTTTTTTTTCATGCTTTTAAGGTATGATTTTTCAATAGTCACGTTTGAATTTTTTAACTCTACTTTTTTTATATGCTATGGTGGCAAACAAGTATACGGCCGATCTGATAGTAAATGGTTACCGTAGCCTATGGACGCCTGAAACACCAGGGGTGTTCCAGGCGTCCATAGCGACCCGCGACTTCGTCCGCGTGGAATTTAACTTTATTTTTCTAAAATAAAAGTAGCCTAAGTTACTCCTTATGACATCAGCTACCTGCCAAAAAAAGTCCAGTCAAAATCGGTCCAGCCATTTCAGAGATTAACCGGAACAAACAGACAGACAGACAAAAATTGAAAACAACGTTATATTGGTGTATGTACCGTATTTATATTAATATGCATGTAGTAAAAAACGGTTATATCAATATTACAAACAGACACTCCAATTTTATTTATATGTATAGATAGGTACATCTACATATTAATCCCTCCTCTTTTTAGTACATATCAGAAACAGTATTGATTCAAAGTAAAGCCAATCTCTGTCTCTGTACCTATCTTAATAATAACAAGCCCGGATTAAATATTTCATATTCATCGGAAAGTATGCTTAAACAAAATTTTCCTCGTCATTAATTTGTAATTTTACTTTGTAAGAACAGAGCCCTTCATAATTAACTACTTGCTCCTTTTTCTTTTACCTAGATTGCTGTGTGATGATAATCTTACGACTGTGTACGTAGCTTACGGCTATCTAGGTACAATGAAATTGTTTTTAATTTAAAACTTTATGGCACATCTATTAGGGAAATGTATCTACTCTCTTTGTCAAACACAACATTGTCTAGTTTATAATACAGTAATTTTAGTATGAAAATCTATTACTCTTCGTCACTGTTTTATATTTAAAAACTACAGATTTACGGATACAGAACTATGGATTTAAAATTTTAAAATAGGTTGTTACTATCAGCCTACTCATAATGGAAATAAAAATATTTTTACTAAAGCCAGAGTGCAAATCGGGTCAGACAAAATGTATTGTGAATCTTTTCTGAAATTGATGCTTTCTCGGACGTCGTTTACTCTTTCATACTAAACATTACTGATTTTAACTATATTTCCTAATATTCAGTTGATTTTTTATATTACGTATATATTAATATTTATTTTATTAAGTAATACTTACATACTTACTATTTTCTACTATTTATTTATCGCCTACCTACCTTCAAATATGTTGCAAAGAATTTTTTCATTATTTTAATAGGTAGGTACAATCTCGCCATCACAAAATTAATTTGAAGGAAGGGTCTGATGTAATAATAAAACGAACAAAACGATGACAATGTCGCCGAACCTTCGAAACATAATGAGATATTTCGTCAATAGGTATAGGACCTATAGATATTTACTTACTTTTTACCAAACCTAACTGACCTTTCTTCATCATCTTTATACCAATTATAACACACAATTTAAAGTCCACCACTGTATATATATATCTTTATTGTTAATATAATTACACAAACTAATTCTAATGAACTAGTATGAAAAATTACGTTTAATGTTTTAATTTATATCATTTTCGTAAATAGGCATGATGATGGGGCAAGACAGGATATTTGACATAATGCCTATTTGGCAAAGAAGTATGTGATTTTGCGTCATAAAATATTATCATTATATTAATTGAAACTGTAAGTGTTCCCTTTTTCGTAAGCGGATTTTATCAAACCTTCTTATTTTTAATTATAATGTTTTTTCTCTTAAGTATCCCATCTTACTCCGGTCTCCCCTATAGCGGACATATCAGCTGACGACGCACATTATAGAACAATATAGTCAACTTTTTAAATGATGAAGGAAGAAAGCTAATAAGAAAGGCGTAAACAATATAATTTAAATGTCTTCAGCCATTATTATAATATATATGCGATAATGGATATTTGTTTACATCGTCCACATTGCTGCAATTGGGTTAAATGCATATTACGTTAACGACGCAATAATATTACCGGAGCCCCGTTAAAAGCGGTAATTTGTTAGAAATTGAAAGAGCAGCGCTTTGAAAACGAATTAATTAAATGAAAAAATCTAATAAACATTTTAATGCCATTACAAATTTACGATCTTTGAATTTACAGTGAGTTTACATATTTGTAATGAAAGGAAAATGCGTATGGAACCAAATAGAGGATACATTTTTAGTAATAGGTTATTGGTTTCATTAATTAATAAGTTTATAACAATATATTTTGCCAGGTTGATGACCATATCTTGCTTAGAAGACGTCGTGTATTCCATAAACACAGATACAATAATTACATACCATAACGATAAGAGCCTCTTCCTTGCGTTATAGTCTGCACTAATGGTAGTATAGCTGCAGCACTGGAATCTCAATCCTTGAAAATATTATTAAAACGTTTTCTTAAGGGACACCTAAACAGTAGTGGTAGTATATATAGGTAAATCCATAAAAATTGCGTGAGAATAAATAGCTACCTACTATTTGTTCTTACGCAATTTTTTATGAATATATCACAGCCACGATACCCTGACGTGTATCGTAATCGTATCATTCAATAAATTATCAAATTTTTAGAAACAGGTTTGATAGAAGAATATTGCTATGTTTAAGTTGTTATAATAAGGAAATAAAAATAGGTTAGAATTTATTATACACTGAATTTAACAGTGATGCCACGGAATGTTTGAGAAGTGAAAAATGTATGCCTATAAAGTGAAACAAAACAACATTGATGTTCCATACGTGACGTTCCAAATTTGAAATTTCATAATTTTATTTTTAATGTAGTATATGGCTATTTGCGATCGCAGACACAGGTACCTACTAAAGATTACTTAAAATTCAAATGTCATAGAAAGTTTAAAAGTAGTTTTTCTTGTGATCGATGCGAGAAGTTTGTGACTAACTGAAATGTATTTTTTTACTTCAAACTGTGAACTACTCAATACATATTCACATAACATTGAGAATAAAAATACTTTATTTTTTTATATTATTTTAACTTTATATTTCGACCAGTCGTTGATAAGAATCTACTTATAGCGAACACGGTGGTTGTCTTCGCTAGATTCAACCGTCTCTGAATCACTTAACGTTTGCTATCGGCGCTTGCATCACTAGAGAATCAATCACACACGTTTTTTTTATGCAAACTATGTTAGAACTCACGACCGTTCTTTTTCGTCATGACTTTTCTGCCGACAATCCGCACCATGCCATGACGCGTGAAATATAAACCAAAACAAAAATATTCTTACTGGAGTTAGGTAAATGCGCTTGAGACTATAATAGCATTCATTACCCCACGCATTGACGTGTTCAACGGAACGTGCACATGTGATTACTACTTATTACTATAGGTACATACTGTTACAGTATGGTAAAGACAACACGTTCAATAAATATTGTGTATATTATTGTGCATATCGTAATATTTATTATGTTTGTACTGAAGTATTGATAGACTTTAATATATAATAATATTTAATAACAGTGGCGTATTGTGGTCTTTATCCGTCTGGGACCAACGGAGCCAACAACGGAAATTGTTGGCTCCCTCTATTTTAATATTTTATTACTGGATAATAGTTGGTATATTACGATATAAGCGCATTATAAGTTATAACAAACGTGCATACTAAGTGCGAGAAAAAAAATAAAAAAGCCACAAAATTATATTTTGTTCATTTTTTCTGTGACGGACACTGTTCTTTCCCGCCATTTTTTTTATATCAGCGCGCTGCCTACTGGTTGGTTGGGCGTTCAATTCGAAATTTGAATAAAAAATAGCAAATAATGCGTTGTGGAATATTATAACTTCACTATCTGCTTTTTAAATGCACACGAGTGAGCTGAAAGTGTTCAAATTTTAATTTAGGTATAACATAATAAATTTGGATAAGAATACTATTACCTATATTTTTTTGGTACTGTGTACTTTAATTTATATTCTATAGATAGTTACTAGTACATTTTAGTGAACGATAATGGCATGGTGGAACCGTCTACATTAACAGTATTCTCTGGCAGGGCACCAGTAGATGATGAAGATAGGCCAGTTACTCCATTGTGACGATTTACCGGGAATTAATCACATTGTTTTCCAGGGGAAACCGCGTGGAGTTCGCCTTATTATATATATTTATTTAATATCGTATGAGACTAGAATAACAACTGCTTGTGAAGATAATATACTTCCCTGGATCCAACTTCGTATGTTGCGATATTATAAAAGGGAAAATAAATAATACAATTATAGATTAATGGGCGAGTATATTATTATAAAATACATTCATCCTATAAGATACATAATCCTATGGTTCTAAACCAATATTTACATTAAAAAGAAAGGCGGGAGACATGGAACTTAGAAATGACAAGACGTGCATTATATCGGGAATCACTGTAATCATTTAATGATCCACTCTTATGTTGAAGCGATAACCCGACCTACCGACCAGTGGTGAAATCATTTATCATCAACACTTATTATAAAGGCACGTACATAGATGCGACCCTATCTAAATCACAGGTAAAATTTATTTTATAAAACTGGCGTTCACTTATTCCCATCCAGCCAAGTATAACGAACACCAGTTCTAAGGTACACCGTCCAATAGTCGTATCAACATACGTGCTTCGTAAATGCTAAAGGCACGTCCACTCATTCTAATAGTGGTCCATGGCGAGAAGTCCGCTCGGCGGATCTCAATCGTCGTACGGGCGTGGGGGCTCGGGGAAGCCGCGGGCCGACATCGGGTCGGGCGCGGGGGACGCGTGCGGGGCGGGGGAGGCAGCGGGGGACGCCGCCGGCGACGCGCTGCCCAGCGGTGACGGCAGCGTCGCGTACACCGTCGGCCTGGGCGGCTGGTACGACGGCGCGTACGAGTCGCTACGAGGATTGTAGAACGGCGAATCATCAGCGCACGAGTCCAAGTTTGGTGAGTATGGAGTCGCAGCACCGCAAGAGGGCGCGTCGTCACTAGGGCGGTACGCCGGCGCCATCGGTGCGTATACAGTCCTCCGCGGCGGCTCCGCCTCTTGCCGGTGATGGGATGAGGGCGCGTACGCATCTGACCACCGTGCCTTACTCGGTGTGAAGTCTCCCTTAATGTACAGTTGTATAGGACGTCGGAAGCCCTTGCTGGCATGCTGTGGCACGCCCAATATGCAACACTTGCTGAATCCAACCTCAGGAGATAACAGGTACTCGCGGAACTTATTCGGGAACAACTCTATAGCGTTGAAGTTTTCATAAATGGTGGGCTGTAAAGAAATAAGTACAATTAATCATTATTATAACTGAAATTATATATATACTATTACCCACTATTTTGCACAATGATACAAGATAGATGTACAATAATAGGTGTTTTGGAATAGCTTTTTTTTTAATTGTACTTATTGATTATTTTTTACTTTTATAATGACTATCATAATTAAAATGCAATTTTAATCAAATATAAATGCCAACTTTTGCACAATGATACAAGATAGATGTACAATAATAGGTGTTTTGGAATAGCTTTTTTTTTAATTGTACTTATTGATTATTTTTTACTTTTATAATGACTATCATAATTAAAATGGGGACGGAAAAAGCTATCTCAATTTTAATCAAATATAAATGCCAACTGATGTACAAAAGGAAAATTTAATTATTATTTAGTTTTAGAATTTTAAAAGGGAGTGCCTTGAATCCTCACTAGAAAAATGTCCTTTCTTATTAAATCTCTAAATAAGTTGACTGATTCTATTTGAGACCTTTTAAAAATAATACAGATTATGTATTTTATATAATTAATAATAATATGAATATAGTCTTACCGTTAAACGCTTTTTCTTCTTGTAGCTAGCCCAATTCTGGGCTTCGAGAACGAGTTTTCCTCCGGGACGCAAATCGGCAAACATGCGCCTGAAAGCGCGCTTGAGACCGGCGTCACCCCAGTTAAGATGCAACCACTTTGTAGTGGAGAGACAGAGTATCAAATCGAACTGCGGGCTCTCGCCAGAGCCTACTGCTACATCTTCACGCGGCACATAGTTGCCCTGCAATTGAAAAAAAAATATTTTAATCATATATGTCACCGCTGGGCAACGCTCAGTCAAATGGCGAACTGCAATCCACATGCTCGAGTAGTAATTAAATGTATGAATTTTAATTGTTAATAGATATTTAAAATAGAAGAATTAAATAATAAAAGAAATCTTCATTATCTTTAAGAACAACCAGTGTTGTGCTAAACATGGGTATTAACGATTAGTACTAAATATATACAATTGCTCATAATTTTAATTTATATGTAAAAATAAAAGCAAAATGGCTGCAATCTATATGGTCTATATTAGCACTAAAACAGATGAGATTTTAAATCTAACCCAAGTCATGATTATATAATAAATCAAGAAATGAACATTGTCCGCATCAATTAAAAGACATATCCAAGAGTTAATCTGTCTATTTGTATCTGTTCATGTTTTAAGGGTATAAAATATAATATAAATTAATGGTTTATTAGTTATTGCATTTATTCCTATATATGCCATATACAAGTATTCTTAATACAGAAACAATATATGTGATTTTATGGCATATACTGATTCATTTCAATACAACAACATATTAAATCAAACTGAAAGAGTACTTGACCTGTGTATATCGAACATGTCTACTGATAATTTGACAAATTAATTACATCATAGGTATGTATGACCTACATTTGTGATTAACTTTGATATTTTATAAATTTGTTACTTACACTTAAAACATGAATAGATACAAATAGACAAACATCATAATCATCAGTTATTACAACAATCAAACACACCTGCTTGAATGTAACATTGTAGGGGAATGTAGGTGGTGACAGATTTGCCACTGAGTCGCCAAGGGGTCCATACAGCATTGCCATTGACATTGGAAAAAAGCATTTCCCAGGTTCTTGTCTGTTTATGGCCTTCCGATTCTTTCTTGGCTTCCTAAATTTCCTTCCAATCTTCTTGGAGTCTTCTCCCTTATCCTGCTTCTGATCCAAGTTGCAATCTTCACATTTATCTTCTTTGCACTTTTCACACTCAGATTTTTTGTCATCATCCATGTCAATCTTTTTCTCGTCTTCTTTAATTAATTCTGTTGGAACAGGTATGAAGGACTGAAGATTCTTTCTTGCTCTACCTGAAAATGTAAAAAAATATTTAAGTTTCAATCAATAAACGAAAATTAAAACTAGTAGATAAAATGAGTCAATTATTTATTTATAAAACCTTATATTTCATAATTCTGTGCAATAAATTGTAAATGAAATATATATAATTTTTATTTTCATAACATCATGTAATAAACTTGAAATTGTATATGTTGCACATAATATATATTGAACATAAGTGATGTATATTTAAGAATATATTTTATTGACAACTTATTTTATTGTAATGTTTGACAGTCTACTTAAAAGAAGAATCAAGTAAAGAAAGTCTCTGAGTTATTAGAATCTGAGACTTTCCAACAAACTTAAATACCATAACAAGATCTAATTACAGATAATTAGGACTAGCATACTAATAGTATTATTGAGAATGAGTATTTGGTCTATAAACTATCATATATCTATGATAGAACATGCAATAAAAATATGTTTAGTGTGGGGTCAGTTCAAAGCAGGAGCATCAACAACATCATTTTTCCTCAGCACAGACAATCGGATTAGATTATAGAAATGTATGGGACTCTTATTATTTTGATATTTCATTGCGATATGATAGCAAAATTCTCAAATATATAATTGTATGCTTTATTTAATTATATTACATATTAAATATATTAATTTAAAATAGTATATTTTACATACCAATGAGTACAGGATCAATATCTATGCCGATGACAGATCGAGCACCAAGTGTACGAGCTACAGCAGTGGAGATGTGACCAACATTGCACCCAATATCCAGTACGTCTTTGTTTTGGAATAGATGTTTATGCATCTCAAATACTTGTAGGCGGACATCCATCATTGCATTTAAGTTCCTGTATCCATAATACCTGTAATGATATTTAATAAAGCCTACTTTAATACCATAATTATTATAAATTAAAGTCCTGAGATATGACACACAAATAGTGCTTGGAACAGAGAACATTAGCTACTTTTTATTCTGGTAATAAAGTCAAGAGCAAAAACTAGTATGCCAGTAAATGGTTCAAAATTTTTTAATACATTCAATTTCTATGGTCTCGGAATTAATTAAACAATTATGATACATACAATTAATAATACTATTGCAGAGAAATGTGTTTAAACATACTGTTTTAGAAAACTAAAGTTAACTATATATGCATTATTTAACCAAATAAATGTATATTCACTAAAAACAAATATCATTTTTATGTAATGAATGGCAAACAACCTGTAGGCACACCTGATGGTGAGCAGTAATCATTGCCTATATACATGAACACCTAAGTACATCACATTATCATGTAACACCTACAATACCACTCATTCATTGCTAATCCAGATGACTATGATGTAATGCCTCTTATACTATAATTTTCAGATTAGGCATCAGCATACTAAGCTTCCAATGATACAAACAAATTTTTAGTCTTCTTCTCCAAACATAAACATATTGAAGGCTAGCTGTTACCTGCAACTTTATCTGCTTTTATTTTGAAATAAAAGATAGCCTACATTGTTCCTCAGGATATATGTAATCTAATTTCAAATTAAATTTAATTAAGATACCTTAGACATGAAAGTGTAACAAGTAAACCAACAGACAGATACACACTATCCTTTCATATTTACTATAGTTAGTTCGACCATCTCACTACATCATGTAAATAAAGACAGTGTCCTTTATATCGAGATATTTGGAGACAAAATATTACAAAGCCAATAATGTTAATATTAGTCTTACCTATCATAATTTCCATACTGATAGCGTGAATTTTTTGGATGAAATGTTGGCAATTTATGCTCTCCTTCAGATTCACTCTTTAATTTAGCACGATGTGGTGACGCTGGTCTCTCAGGAGGGACAACACGTGTTTGTGGTCTTGGTCGCATCCATGCACCTGGCTGAGGCACCACAGGACTCACAATTTTATCCAATGAATCCATACGTCGCAACTTTTTACTATCCTTACACTTCTGTGATGAATTATCACTGTCACTGCATGATCTTTTTCTTGACTTTGATGTTGATGCCTCAGGAGGAGGAGGTTCTTTAATACCTTCTACTTTTTCTATGGGCACTTCCTTTGAGGGAGAAACATGGTCAGTTGTACGTCGTCTAATCCTTGCTTTTTTGCGGGGTTTTCGCTGTAGCATTTCTAACCTCTTTTCATATTCTTCATTATCCACAGGTTCCATCAAATTAAGTGGATCTCGGATATTAGGAGGAATAATTACATCTATCTTTGCCTTGTGCCTAGGAGGTGTAGGCAATGGTGATGACTCTGGGGTGACAGCATTCATAGCTCTGTTAATATCTTCGTCTTGTAAGCTGTTTAGATTCAATGGATCTGAGATATTCCCTCCGAGAAGAAATTTCGTAGGTGGTATAAAAGCGTCTTTCCGTGGGCGTTTATGTGGAAGAAAAAATTTGGAAATTGTTGGAAAACTTTGGGCTCTTTTTCTGCCTTGTTTAAATTTTGTGGCTGTATAGTGAACTCTACGCACCGTACTTCGATCAGGGTTGTCTTTCGGTGGCACATGACTTTTCTTACCATGCCGTGATTTCTTTTTGGTCTTTTTTGCACCTCCAGCACCATTTCCATCTTCTTTGGAAGTATTAGCATCCTGACAAGCAGACACATTCTGTGAAGAAGCGGATGAGTCGGCCACCTCATTTTCAGAAATTTCGCCACCTGTTTCGTTTTCTACCGTATCTAATTCACTATTGTTATTACTCACAGTTTGATTTTCTTCCGGACTACCCATTGCACCAGATAATATTACACAATAACTACATTATAATCCATAGTATTTCAAATATCAAATTTACCGCCACTACGCTATTGCAAAATGTGCAAGGACATCCGTCAATGGTGGTAAACAGGTTATTAATTCTGTTTATTTATGTTAATAATGGCGCAAAATAGAGTGCACAATTAACAATAACAACAAATATAAAACGTTTACTGCGATGAAATCACTTTTATCTTCAATATAAGGAGAAAACTACACATTGACACAAATATAGATTCAAGACAGTATATAGAGTACCATAAGACAGCTAAGAAAATGGCCATCTATTCATTCATAGCGACACCGGACATGTAATGTGAATCGATATTTTTCAAATCGAGTTCATGTATCTACTATCGAGTAAAGTACATGACAAATCAAATCGATATTCTGTTCTCGATACCTGTAATGTGATACATTTACTTATTTTTGGAAATTATTTAAAAGAATAAAATCATATCCATTACAATGGTACCAAAATCTAAAATAATTAATGAATAAATTTAAATAAAACTATGGAGTATTTTAAAAGATTTTATAGGAATAATCCATTCGTACCTTACCTAAGGTATCGATACATTTTATCAAATAAGATGAATCGATACTTTTCGTCAATACAGTATCTATATTTATTTATCTATTCAACGGTGACATTATAGGTAGGTACACATTTGGCTTGTTTCGGTCTAAATTGGGTTGCCAGATTAGGCGTTTAGTCTCCAACGGGCTTACCGAGAACCTGCTGATGAAAAGATATTCTAATTAACAATTTGATACAGCTTCAGCTACTTGGAATTTTCATTTGGCGACAAAAAACAATATTTTTATTAGCTCAAAAGTATTGGGATTTTATTTATGCACAGGGCAAATAAGGAAACACCATTTTATTCGCAGTCGTCTTTTTTATTAGTATGTATTCTCGTTTTATATACAAATTATATGTCAATATAACAAAGGAGTTTTATGTCCAACATTTTACTGTAACAATTTTTAATCTAGTAAATTTAAAATTGTTACTATGATACATACGAACATACATCGAACATCACCGTATGTAATATCGATAGATGGTGTAACAACACTAATCTTTTAACTCTTGAAATTTATACAATACAATAGAAGTCAAGTTTACATTATATTCATTTTGAAAGTTAAATAAGAATGTTGGTTGAAAGATAGAGTTTTAGTAAATACATCGGATATATTTTTGTTACTTTCTACATAGGATAAATTGATTATTTTCTTAGCAATAATATCTTTCACGTAATGAGCTTTAATATCTATGTATTTTGATCTTTTACTATTTTCGTAGCTTTCAATTAATCTCAGAGTACTTTGATTATCAATCAATAATTTATAATTTATATTTAGTGAGGTAAAATCTGACAAGACGCCCTTCAAATTAACTATCTCACAAACAGTGAGAGCACCGGCTAAGTATTCAGCCTCAGCAGTCGATATGGCTATAGAAGCTTATTTCTTAGAATACCAGGAAATAAGTTTTTCAGCATAGAATACAGCACAGCGACTTGTACTTTTCCTATCAATCCTTTCAATACTGTCCAACAAAAAGCCTTCCTGAAAACGCCAATTTTTAGCATAGAATTCAATGTTTAATAATGTTATATTTCTATAATTTTATTTTACCAAATACGTGGTATAAAAAATGAAAAAAAAATTGTGCAAAAGAGTAAGTATCCGTTTCCAAATAATCATTAGTAAAAAAAAATATAAAAGCGTCCTGTCAATTTTGAATTTTGAATTGCTGAATGCCCGTTTCTTTTTTAACATATAGTGGACATAATTTGTCTTTATAAATTGTTTCATTTATAAATGTTAGTATTGTTGTTAGGTATATGTGAAATATTGGACTTTTTTGCAAGTTTAGTGATTAATATGTCAACGTATTTTTTTTGTGCTTAATTAAATATTTTCTATACATTGAAATTTGATTCATTATAATAAATATAATAAGTACCTATTGAACAAGTTTTTAAGATTTTTTTAATACTTAGTATATATTTTTCAACGTTATAGAAACTACATGATACACAGTAGTGTGTGTACATCGACGGTCAATAAGATTAACATTACAAGGTTTGTGATGTTTTCAATGTTTAATCAAAGTATTGTTTCTCTAGTTATTCCTCTTTGCCCTACTAATTTGAAAAAAAAAACCCTATTTATGTGTTCTTCACACAATTTTAATAATATTATTATTCATAATGAATAGTTTCACATGTTTAAAAATTGGATTGTGATCACAATTATAGTATAGTTAAGTTATTTGCTCAGTGATGCTACAGTAACATATTTTATTTTATTTTTATAAATTAGTCCTCATATCCTTTTTATTTTTAAATAATTTATTTTACTGTAATGGATAGTGTTTTTTGCAACTAAAACAAAGTATCTAGTTTTATATTTTCGAAAACAATTTAAATTTTTGTATATTTATTTAAATTATTAAGTAAGATGTATGAAGATTTCCTAATAAATAAAAAAAAATATTTTAATATAAGGATTTAATTACTCTATTACATTTACTTGTAGTTGTTTATTCACATATATTATTTTAAAAAGTAAGACAAAATTGATTTTTATAGCAGACACAACAATTTTTCTAATAAATAAATGTATTATATACTGTAATATAGCAAGAAACCTGTGTACAGTGGCAACCTATTACTTGCAAAGACAATATAGGATAGTTTGTCACGGATATAGGTGCCTTGAGTCATCACTGGAAATTGATAATGTGATGGAAAGTGTACAGTTAGCCCTATTCTTCATTATTAAATGGAATTTTGTCTTGTTTTTTCTTTTTTTACAATTAGAGATGCCAGTATTGGAATTTGAATGTTTTCTAAGTTTTGACCTTCATGGATTTCAAACACGCTTTAAGGGATAGACTTTCCTTTGGTGTCTGATGTGGACAAAATGTACCAGTAGATCACTCACATATCATATCAACATGTGAAACACTTGTATGACTATAAGTTTATTTATGGGCTCACATTTATAATATTAGTCAGTCAAAAAGTTCTTGTCTTATTGATTTCAGATGTCCAGAATACCAAAATTACCAAAAGCTACTGCTAAAGAGAATAAACCTGGCCTGATAACCAGTGGACTGACTAGAACAATTGCTAATGGCTTGAGTGATGCAGATAAGAAGAACTTGATTTTGAATCACACCAGACCTATGCGTAATGGACCAAGTGTGTCAGTACCTGCTCCTCGTCTTAAGAGGTCAGCAACAGCACCATCAAGTGTTACTGTTCCTCCAAAGATAACAAAGATTGAGAAGAAACCATCTACAGTAGCTCCTAAAATACCACCATATGACTATAAAGCAAGGTTTAATGACTTATTACAAAAACATAAAACAATTAAAAGTGAACTTACTGACTTAAAAGACAAACATGTGGAGGTGTCTGACGAATATGAAAAGGTCAAGGAAACTGTACAGAGTTGTTCTAATGAAAGAGACATATTTAAAGAAAAGTTATTAAATACTCTTAATGATTTAAGAGAAAAAACATCTGAATATGAAAAGATGAAAATAGATTTCGATATTCAGAAGCATGAGAATGAAGATTTACACCGTAAAACTCAGTTATTAGAAGAAGTTACTAATGGCTTAAAGAAAAAGACAATCGAGTTGGAAATTTTGCAGTCAGAGTTCAATAATCTGACCAGACATCACAATAGTCTTAAAGAAGAAGCAGAGGCATTACGGGTTCTTTCTGAGCATCTGAAGAAAGTATCTATTGAATATGATAAATTACAACTGGACTATAAAGAAGCCCAACAGTCAATTATAAAATATAAGTCAGATGCAGATGGATTACAAAATATTTTAGCTACAATGTATAAAGAACAAAGAGATTTGAGGAATACTATACAGGACTTAAAAGGAAATATCCGAGTTTATTGCAGAGTTAGACCACCTTTAGAATCAGAGACTTCAAAACCACTGTTCAATTTGAATGTCCTTGATGCATGCTCTATAGAAGTTGAAAAAGTTGAATTAAATTTCAGTTCGGCAAGAAAAGGAAAATCACAGCATGCTTTTACATTTGATGGTATATTCACACCTCATGCAACTCAAGAAGATGTTTTTGCTGAGGTTTCCCCAATGGTACAATCTGCATTAGATGGATACAATGTATGTATATTTGCATATGGTCAGACTGGCTCTGGTAAAACTTTCACCATGGAAGGTGGATGTGGCACAGAGCAATATGGTATAATTCCAAGAGCTTTTAATATGATTTTCACATGTATGGAAGATTTAAAAAGGATGGGTTGGGAATTACAAATTAAAGCATCCTTTTTAGAAATATACAATGAGGTTATTTATGACTTATTAAATTCAAGCAAGGACCAAGAAAGCCATGACATTAAAATGGTTAACTCTAAAGGCATTGATGTGTATGTTTCGAACTTGAAAGAAGAAGAAGTTAAGAGTTCACATGATTTCATCAGACTGATGATATTTGCTCAACGTAACAGACAGACTGCAGCTACGCTCAACAATGAAAGAAGTTCTCGATCCCATTCAGTTGCACAAATTAAGATATCTGCTATCAATGAAAAGCGTAAAGAAAAGTTCACCAGTCAATTAAATTTGGTTGATCTGGCAGGTTCTGAAAGTGGAAAAACTTCGCAAAGGATGGATGAAACTAAACATATTAACAGATCCTTATCAGAGCTATCTAAAGTTATTTTGTCTTTGCAGACAAATCAGTCCCATATTCCATACAGAAACTCAAAACTTACTCATTTGTTGATGCCTAGTCTTGGAGGTAATTCCAAAACTCTGATGTTGGTCAATATCAATCAATTTGATGAATGCTTTGGTGAAACTCTGAACTCCTTACGCTTTGCTACCAAGGTAAACAGTTGCCGGACAATAAAAGCAAAGAAAAATTTGACAATGGTTGACTCACTATAATATTTTTTGTTATACATTAATTTTAAATGACTTATAATTTTGTATAATTTCTTGGGTCAAATGTGCTTTTCAATTGATATAATATATTATGTCCTTCATTACCCAAAAGATATACACGAATAAAAGTGTAAGGTAATATTAAAAATTAACAACCCTGACCAAGTGAATAGATATTAGTTACAAATAGATTTTAACTTTCTATTAAATTAGATTTACCTAGTTTTAATGATTCATTTTTTGTTTGGTTTTGAATACAATTTTGTGTGTAATAATCAATAATAATTTGTCTATTATATGCTAATATAATTATGTAAGTACTTAGAAATAATGTTTTATTTGCTACCGTTTTGCTCTTTTTGTATAATATTAATATTTTTATATTACTTGAATTACACATTTCAATGATTTTTGTTTGGGTGAAATATATTTGCAACTCTTTTACTTTATTTGGCCCTTTTGAGATTTATTTTTCATATTCATTTCTTTTCTATCTGCAATCAGCCCCTCCAGCTATAATCAGATTGTGTGGTGTTATGGGTATTTGGATATCGCACATCCAGTGAGGTGCTATTTAATTTAATTTCTTCATTTGTTGGCAAGATGAGCCCTTTTTTTGTATAGATGGACAGTTATTTGTGTTCTTATGGCCGGCTAATCTGTATTTATATTTTCCACAGGCTTTCTGTATCTCTTCTTTTACAGTTGCCACTTCTAGATATGTATGTACTTCTATGTTTTATGAACCAAGGAGCTCTGGCTATGGTTTTTAATGCCTTGTTTTGGAAACGATCGAGAATTTGTATGTTCGAGTATGAAGCCGATCCCCATAGTTCCATCGAATATTGCGATTGATTTTTTAATATAAGCACTTATACATGTGCTCATTATTATAAGATAATGTAAAATTAGATTTTGGATTTCTTTCAGCATTGCCAACTGGAATGTCTTTTTAATTATAAAGCTGTTGCGTTACTTAAATTTACTTAAATGCCAAAATTTACTAATTCAGAATTGCAATTAGTGCAGTTGGCAGTCAACTTATATTGTAGTATACCTACGACGACCTATATACCAGTACCTAGTACTAATTGTAAGTCAATACTGCGTAATTTATATATATTTTTTATGAATTAATATGCGTCCTGAGGCGTGAACGGTATACGCTGGCGGTTTACCATAGGTGGATACCATAAGCATGAGGTCATCACTCCGATAGGCTATGGCGGCGAATCCACCAGAAATTCTGTGGAGATCAACCTATAGCGGACTATTTGTACCTATTACGTTATTAGAAATATCACATGGCTGTGTCCTCGTATATAGCAGAATAAATAACCTCTACTTTCTCTGTTTACCCCGAAAAAGATCTGGTATGAAGAAGAGTAATGATATTTTTTTCTATTCCATTCACCACTGTTGTTTTCTCTCCTCTACCTTTTTTTTCTTTATCTAGAAGAGATTGTTTCGACATAACTATGTAACTGTACCTTATTACTTCATATCCTTGTAATTTGCTTCAAATGCAATTACTCTAGGATATTATCTATTTGTGTGTTTAATAAAACGACGCTGAATGTATATTCTACATCCATTCAACGTCGTTCTATTAAACATGTTTACGTTCACAAACTGCGTATATCAGTGTTTTTGTTCATATGCTTATTAAAATTGTAACTTGCAGTTATAAATAATAATTTTGTCGACAGATGGCGCTAGCACACGAACTTAATAGTTATTGATAGGATGAATGAACTTGACAGTAGATGGCGCTAGTATACTTAAATAGAATTACATAATTTCACTATAGACATTCAACCGTAGTGTGGCTATGACAACACCATAACAGTAAACAGACTTCAGAGAACTTTGTGTCAACAAACTTAGCACCAAACTTTTCGCTTCTTCTACTAAGGTGTAATGTTATAACATAGGTCTATAGACCTCGGGCAGTAGATTACCAGAAATTGAGTCCATTGTTATCGTATCGATCCGGAGCATTATTCTTTCATCATCCATAAAAAAACCCGAGGTACGTATGGAACGTTTACGCTGAAAACTACTGTTAATAACTCCTTACATTTACTTAATGAACAACGTGCGGTTAAATGAACTGGCTCATCCTCATCCTGGCTTCTTATTCAGCCTTTCATATCTGAGACCTGCCAGTGTATACAAGTTGAATAATTATTTCATTATCATTCACCAAAAAGTGTGTAATGGCGGTATTGATATGGAATGAGTGAGTGACTTTCTCCCACTTATTTCAGCTGGCAAGTAGCTTGACTTGTATCCTGTATTTTGGTTCGAAGTTCGAGATAATGACAGTAAAATTGTAGTAGTCCTTTGTACATTAAAATATCGACGTGATGGTACCACCGGCCTCACATGATTATGTGATGTCCGTAGTACTGTACATGTATATAGGTGACGGTTATGACTTACCAGCCCGCAGCTACTTGGCCCGCTACATGTTTGCCGTCTAATCTTAATAAATTTTCACGAATTAAAAGATGTGCCTTGTATATTATACAACTAATATTATTCTGTTTTTGTAAATACACATGTAATAAAAATATACTTAAAGAAATGTGTCTATTGTGCATAGATTAGTCCAGCATCTAAAGCAGAGTATCAGATCGCCAACTATCGAGTGCATCCTAATTATTAATATCTACAATATAATAGATACTTTATACTTTTATAATTTAGATTTCAATTAGTCACCTGTGTGTCAATCAATACAAATACAGTAGTACATTAATTCACATTGTATAAGTTTGAAAATGAAAGTTAGCAGGTTTTTTATAGTTACACCACAGTATATACTTGGCCATTTTTTAAAAATCTCTTATAATATCTATATTTATGTATGAAAAATAATATTTTAGTGAGTTTTCTAATGAAATTAATTTCTAATTATATCTGAAGACCAAAGGGGTATTTTAAGTACCAACATATACTTAAATTCTACTGCGTTTTAACATCTGTGTAATACCCCAGGACAACTCACAAAGCGCCTTCTAGTCAGAATCTAGCAAATAATCATACACATGAATGCAAATGTCTGTATCGCGCGAGGAATCGAACTCGCGACCATCGAAAGTAAAGCGATGTACTAAACTTCTAGAGCACCGAGGCTGTCAAATACGTTGCATGAGTAGCACTGTGTATTGTTTGATATGGAGGGTGTTGTTTATGATTGTAGACAAAGGTTACCATTTTCCATCAGATGGATCATCAGGTTATTCGATATTTGTAGTAATACTTATGCACACCTAATGTTCTGTGTTAAAGATTTTCAATTTCGTTAACAATAATACTAGTTAAGATGCCTAAAGTTAACTGACTTGGGTGAAGATTCATTAAATATATTAAAGGTATAGAGTTAGGTTAGAAAATAAGTACAATGAAATAAAAAATACGATATTTAATATTTAAGGACTAGATCAAAATATAAAGCGATCCATCGCATTTCTCTTCCATATAAACATCACAAATAGTTATGCAATTTTTTGTACATCTCCGTGCGTCGGCCTGGGAGCGCAAGGGAGCAGTACTAGGGCACAGGGGCCAAGCGAACGGTGACAACGACCGCGGGGCGAGTCCAGGGTCCTCTCGCCTACAATTCAGCGTGACACATCTGGTTCTTTCGAAGCCTCATCTCCCTGTGGTAACTTAGCAGTCTCTATTGTATTTATTAACCTATCTAATCCAAACAGGAAACCTTCTTCGTGGTTTCCTTGTTTCCAAGGTGAACGGTGGTCCACCTGGGTTCCTTCCGGTACATGTCTCGTCTTAGCAAAGTCAATAAGCCAAGCTCCGACTCGCTCATCATCATAAATGATGAAAATGCTGCTACCAACAATTTCATGAGTTTTGAAGTATTCCGACCGCTCGAAGAGTTCTCTTATTTCACGAAGTCGTGTGGCAATGGCTTTACGTGCACGTTCATCGTGTCCAAGGAATCGTGCCACTGTTGCTGCCAACTGTTGAGGTTCACGAACTTTTTGGAGATCAGTAAGAGGCGGTTGACCAGGGAGCTTCACGGCTTCGATGCGGAAGCCTTGCTGAGCCGACGATGAGCGTTGTTCGCGGAACTGCATGTAACGCAATTTAGTGACGGCGCGTGATGCATGTTCGGCTTCGGTGGGAGCGTTTGGGTCCAAACGGACCATCTTCTCATAGAGATCAGAGCGTGCACGAGCGTTGCTGACTTCATCCTCGAGGAAGGTGCGAGTGCCCATTTTAATGTCCATAACATGAGGATCACGGAACCCATGCAGCAGATCTTGGAGTTCGATGAACCGTTCCCCGGAATATTCGAGTTCACGGTAGTAACGTGGTATTGCGGAACGCATATGAGGACATGCAGCGAGAGCTTCATAAGCGTCACGCTCAGGGTTATGAGCGGGGTGGTCTCCAGCCGCACGCCGCTTCCACACGGTTCCCGGACCTGCAGGAGCAAGAGATCCGGGATGACCCGACAACTGAAACCATTCAGACGAGCGGGACTTCAACAGAGCGTCTGAAGCAGGTGCTGACAATTCTAGTGCATTCTGTAACAAAAAAAACCAATCTGTTAATAATGCTTACACGATATTAAAAAGTATTTAGTCCAAATATGAAGTAAAAAAAGAGAAAATTCTCTAGAATTATTATTATCTTAATGAAAATTAAGGGTGAAATTACAAAGAGGGTGAAGAACTAATTAGTAACTAAACTATGAAATTGATCGTCCTAGTTATGTACCATTAAATGTCAATAAAAATTATCAACTTACAATAGCTAGGAACTTGAGTAATTCCGAGGGTTGTGCGGTCGCTGGTGCTGATGGTGCAGCAGCAGAAGCGGGAGTGGGCTCCGGAGAAGCCGGAGTGCGTCTCCAACGTTTGAACAAAAGCGCACCCTCATCCTTGCCACGCCAGCGTTCTTCTTCTTTGGTTGGCACAGCGACCTGAGGACAACGAAAGTCACACGTTTAACACCAAATGTAATGATACACCACGAATCACTGTACAATACTGTCACTCGTTTTCAAACACTTTGCACATTATGATAACGTACCGCTAATATTTTATTGGCAGCATAGAGTAGCCCGCCAGGGCCAAGGCGGCTCACCACCGATTGGCGGGAAACACTGTTCATCTTGCTGGTGACGGTCATGGCGTACGAGTGCGTGCGATGAATACGCGAACACAAATGAGCGATAACGATATAGAGCGCGGGAAACGAGCGATGGTCGTACGTAAACGACTGTAGTTAGCCTGCGAATGGTGCTAGTGGGAGGGTCACGCGATCTTATATAGAGACCTCGGCTTTCTCGTGACGTAGCGGCGGACTGAACGACGCCGCCCGCGCTGCCTCATGAGTTTCCCTTGTGTTACTGTTTTTCACAAAATACATTGATAGGTTTGACACCACGAATGCAGCGCGTTGTCTTCATTGTTAATAGGTGTCACCAGCAAGATTTACGGTTGATTGCTACAGAATGCATTTATTGCGATATTTGTTTCAGAGTGGTACAGCTACATATTTAAAAACACTTCGAAAATTCGGTTAGTGATTATTATATACTATACATGAAATAAATATAGTTATCATATATAAAATATTTTTTAGTAATCCATATGTTATTAATGTTCTGAAAATAGAGAAAGAGGAATATTTCTGTCTTAAACTACTGATTAAAATTGAATCATACAGACAGTTTTAAATATTTCTGCACTTTAAGATTAAGAAGTAGTGCTCCAAAAATATAAATTCCCGTAAATAAGAATTTAAGATTTACCAAAGAACAGTTCATGTATATGTTTCATTTTTATTTAACAATAATAATCTCTATATTTTACTACGATTATCTCCTCTTTACGACGTAAGAACATGAATTTATACTAGTATTAAGCAGTTATGTGGTATATAGAACCTAAAAATGTAAAAAGTTGTTATTTACACATTGCTATCTCTAAATATCTTGTGGGGTAAATATTTAATCTAGTTAACAAAACAAATTCCAAATAGCGTACCTACGTATAAAGCGCACATTAGAAAATATGACGTAATCCATATCTGGTGTCCTGTGTGCGTGACGCAGTGGGAAGGAACAATGTTATCCAAGATGACGGTAATGTTCTCTATAGAACATCGTTCCAGGCCATAAAATTGACGTACATTTTGTATTCGTATATATAGGTTATATATACGAATACAAAATGTACGTCTAAATAATAACTAGTCACAATTACATAAGACATAAATATACATATTTACTGTAACTTATCCGATTATGACCACAAATAAGTGATTATTACATTTTATGACTGTCTGTTTAGAGTTAGAGAGTTACTATACCTCAAATTATAATAAGCAAGTACCTTTAAAAATAAAAATAATAGCTTATATATTATATATTAAATATATATATATATATGAATAAGTTTGTAAGAAAAAATATATAATTATTTTGAGATTGGGACTGCGAGTATTTTACTCTATTCATTAATACCTACTGACAACTAACTAACGTTTAATTCTCATTAGGAAACCTAATAAAATTAATTAATAACGTATAGTACTTTGTTTTTTACTGATTAAAAATAAAATGTAGACTTTTCGGATTACAAAAATAAAGATATATTTGTCCTAAATTGTCATTGGAACCCACAATCTATTAACGAATAACATCACTAAGAAACCTGACAATTATATGCATTACTTTGAACGTATAAACACTATGTCAATATTTGTTAAGTTTATCTAAGCTTAGATAATTTGCCATTGTCATGTAAAATGGCTTTCATATACACTCACTAAGAAAGTAGTTTTTGTAAATACCCAAGAAGGCTCGTAATTTCCTTCTAGTCTTTAATCATCATCACCGCGTTGTCTTTGTCTTATTATTTGGGGCCTCCGTTGTATGTATATTTATTGTAGGTATGTTTCTTTCTACGAAGTGTGTAATAGACAAAAAATATGAAGAAAAATCCTGACTAATCTTTCAAAACCAAAGGTTGTATCCTCAAACTATAATGATTGTGAAGACTGTGTGTCACTATTGTTCTCCAGAATGTCGTATGAGCGATTAAAAAATAGACATTGACCTACCTACTATGTCTAATAGTACGCAAACTCGCAATTAAACCCCTTAATTTATAAACCCTATCAGTAGGAAAAATTTCTTAATTAGGGTCTTTGTATTATAGGACCAATGACCAATATAGGGACGTTCATGAGTTGTAAAGGTTTGGGTATGATGAAACTTACAGTACAGTAAAAAGTAATCGCTGGCTTGGAATGTACATTGTATAGTAATATGTATGTATGTGTAAAAGTCTATAAAGATATTCTATTATTGTTAGTAGATACATCTTTATTGACGTAAACCGACCTACTATAACATTTTATCTCACTCCTATGAAATCTGTACACCAATAGGTTGCTACCTCTTAATATTACAGAATTAAATTTGATCGTAAAAAAGGGAATGCAGGAAACACTCCTTTTTTACTTAAACCCATTTCGACCAAAAATATTTTAATGTATTTCAAATGATTTGGGAATAGATCGTAAAATTTGGAGTAAGTAATTACAATACTGTAAGTTAAAATATTTTTATCATATAACTTGAATAAGGACTATAATTCTCAAGCTCTATGTTTTCGAAGAAAGAACATTCACTAATGGAATTCATCAGCTGTGTTACAGGTACCAAGTGTAAAATTCATATCAACTTTAAGGTAATGTTTTAAATTATATTAATAAGTATAATTTCTATTTATAAATTTTATTGAATTTGTTCTGTTTTTTCACCAGCATCAGTCATCGTAGGTAATGAGGTAGCTGATCTGACTACATACTTATTCCTTTATTTTTTCGTCGCCTCACTGGCATAAATTAATCAATTAGCACAGGTGTCATCTTGTCATCAGCAACGACAAAATTCCAATAGATAAATTTACAAAAACCTTAAAGGCTTCATAGGTAATGTACCTACATATGAGAGAATTCCTGGGCAAAACTGCATTCTGCATTCACTCCTAGTTCTAGTTCAATGGTATAGGCGATGAGTTACCTGTTAGTATTTTGTGCTTTTTGTTTCTTAGTTTAATAATTCTAACAATAAACAATATCTTTTATTTATTCGACGTGGTTGATGCTATTGTTTATTGTGTTACTTGCGCTATATAATTATACGGAAAAAACAATTAGGTAGGCTCTACTATCCGTTTTACGTAAGACGCATAATGTTAATCACAAGTAATTACAATAAGAGTCAATTGCATTAACATGTAAGTAGAACTCATTTAAATTAAGTTCATAACAATACAAGTCACAAGTACCTAGATTTCTTTAGTGGGTAGTGTGGTATATGTAGCGCTGTTTACATTTTTATTATTTCTATATCAATATACTAATATTATATTTCTATTATATTAACCAAAATATTGATTATTAAAATTTGTCAAATTTATGTGTACAAAAACAGCTTCACCGATTTGAGTGTAGTTTTCAAAATCTTCCTCTTATTAAGTAGATACCGATTCGTTTAAATGTGCAATTAACGTGATTATTCCGGTCGTAGTATTAATGTGTTATTCGAATTCTTTAAATAATTCTCTTCAAACTTTTCATACTGTTAAGCACCACTGCATTAAAGAATCAATTCTTTGACATCCCTATTCTGATAAGCCGCAGTTGACGTCTTTAGGAATATCACAAATTTTATTCACTATTCTTTCCTCTCCCGCTAATCATAGCTTTACGTTAATAACCACGAGAACGACGTCTTAAAGGCTGTCAATACTCGTTCTTAACTGGGTTTTTTTTCTGTATTCACAATGACAGTTATGATAATAAGTAAATACCCAAATGACTTGAAACATTTGAAGTTATGGCAGAATACAATGCTATTTTACAAGTTACATAATAATTATAAAATAACATTGTAGTCTGTCATAATTTTACGACACTTTTATTCACATTATAGATACAAGGATTATTGACACCAGAGTCATGCATCAGTACCAGCAAATGCCTACAAACAAGAAGTATGTCACAGTAGTATACATACATACGAGTATACTAGCAACTAGCACTTCATAAAATAAATTACAGAGTCCCATAAAACACATTATATAAATAAGTAGGTAGAGCTTTGACATTGCACTATATGCGAAAACGAATGGTGTCAAGGATATTAGATGGCCTGGATTGCTGTCTTGATGTTTGTTCTAGATTGCTGGATTGATAAGCTCTCATAATATTTCGCCTGACTTATTAGGAACTCATGGATGACATAAATTCGCAAAAAATTACGTTATACACCAATCAATTATAGGAAATGATTACATAGTAAAATATTATGCAACATAATATACCAGAGTGGACTTCATGACTAAATCATAACTGATCCGTTTAGAAAATATATTAACTTGTGTATAGTATCTCAATTCTGTTTTGAATATTTTTAGTGGCGCAACATAGCTAGCATACTTGTATGTGAATTTGATATCCTTTGTAAATTTGACGTCTGACAAATGATGTTTATAACCTCTATGCAGTCGTTCTGGCCTGGTCAGGGTCGCCTTATAAAGTTTCAATAGTGCAGTGCATTGCATTCAGCTATTATGCATAGACGGCGCGTGGCTTTAATGCATGTCTCGAGGCCACAGTTCAGATCCATGATCCCTATTTATAAATAGGGAGACAATTATACACAATTTTAATCTGATTTTAATAATAACATTATGTAATATATTCTGAGCTGTGGTAATGAAATGAAACGATAAGTATCTAGTGTGCAATAAATAATTATGCAAGTAATACCTACGTTTAAAAATAATAAAACTTATTTTCTTCTGGCCATTTAAAATCTAGTACATTACGACCCTTTAAAATGTAGTATTGTCGTGAAATACAGACCAGATCGAAGAATACCACAAGCATAGTAATAATGAC